CTTCACTGTGTGCACCGGGATTAGCGAAGTAAAAGAAATGAGGGAAACGTCTGTGAGGCACAGCACCGTCTTGTGCTTTGCCATGGGGTGAAGTTTCCCCAAAAGTTGATACTAGCTGATAATACTAGCATCATTTGGTACTATACAAGTTTAGCACAACAATACTATTTCTGTGGTATAGACTGTGGGGCACTGAAAATATGAAAAAATATGAAAAACAAAACAAAAAAAAAAGAACATGCCTCATGTCTTCCTACTCTCCGTCAAACCAGAGTCTTAGAAGATTCAAGCCTATCCTAGGACTATAGCCCATTTGTCTCTATGTATATTTACAAAGCATTCAACATGCCTCCATTGAAGTCAATGGAGTAAAAGGCACAAGAAAGCATCAGAGTAATCCAAAATGCCTTTAAACAAGGCTCCTAAAATGGAGAAATTTGGTATTTAACACTCGCCTGTGGGCAGAAGTTCTGGTTTTAGTATTTTCACACCACCTGCCATAACAGGGTCCCGCAGAACCTAGATTAGTAGTGAAATTAACAGTACTGTACTATTAAAATATTAAAACCAACAACTCACACTGCAACTCAAAGTTGCTGCCAAAATAGGCAAGTGAGCATTCAGCTGAGGCCATGCCAGGGAAGGCTGAGTGAAAGAGGAAATTGCAACAAGCCTTTTAGTAAATGGCACTCTGAATTTATAGTGGATCAAGGCAGGACGACTTCAGTATGGACACATTCCACTGTAAGCTACATCTGCTTTCCTATGAAAATTTAAAACAATACTCTGAACTTCAATAGTCAAAAACTTCATAGTGCATTCTGGAAAGTTAAAAGACAGCTGGCTAAACACAAATGGGCTTTGTGTTCACTTGCTAGAACCATTCACATCTGAGTTCAGCAAACTGTTGCGCTGAAACCCCAGCAAACTGGAAGGCTAGGCAGCATGATGCCTCAAAAGTAATTCTGAGCCCACTACAAAGACATTTAAAACACATGTCTAATGGGCTAGATACAGTGTAAAAGTTCTGATTTTGCTGAAAACTTTTGTATCTCATGAGCTTTATTAAGTACAGGTCCACCTGCATCCTGACCAGACAAGTGTCCTCTATATAGATGCAATAGGTTTGGAGCTTTCCTGGTCCTCTGAGTCAACTGACATAAGCTTTAGAATTAATGAAGTGCTGATTTACTGTTCACTCTGTTTTGTGTTTTTTTGATTGTTTGTTTGTTTAAAAAAACCTGTAAGTCTGGAAAAGGCAACCAAAACATTGCTTATATCACTCAGTTGTTTACTGCAGGCCCAATCCTGAAAGCTAGTGGTTGATGGGACAGATCATCTGCTGATGTAAACCAGCATGGTGCCAGTAATAGGCCAGTGGAATAGTGCCAATTTACATCAGCTAATAATCTGGTTATACTGTCACAAGAGAAGGTGGGGGCATTTAGTTCTTTTCCACATCAGGCTCTGTTACATATTAATTTGCATGGCACAGTATGAATGTACGCATGTTTTTACTTTGATTTCTTCTGCATTGAAAGATTATTTCATAGATGTGATCTAGGCATCCTCAATGTTGTAAATCACCATGGTACATTTCAATTAATTTTTTTTGCTTTCCCTGCTTCTTAAAAAGTGTGTTGAGACGCCATGTACAAAGCCAGCAAAATGAGTTAAATGACCACTAGATTAATCAGGAAAGAAACTATTCTGTGCTCCTCATGACATTGTATAATTATCCAGCTGCATAAATGTTTTTGGGTTTTTTTTATTGCTAGTAACTGAAATAAGACTAAAGCACTGCTTGTCCACAGACCATAAACAAACCAAGTACAATACTGCACCAAAAGCACATAGTAGACAGATGCAGAACATATAAATTAGCTGTTTCATTTGGATAAATGATGATCTGATTTCACCCTTTTTCTGCCTAGCCAGCAATCAAGTACATAGATATATTTCCTAATTGAGAAATTAACCATATTTCATATGTTCTGAAAAGCAAGGCATATTTGAGTCTTTGTAACTGTTAATATTTGTCCATTAGACTGTTCCCATTCCATGTCTATCTTCCTTTCTATTTATACTGGCATTGATCAGTTTGTTCACTTCCAGTTTAAATGATCCAATTCTGATTTGATTGCCGTGTAATTTAAATGCAAATAATTACTGTAAGGATGACATTTAGAAAAGCAGTTCTGCTAAGCAGGAAGGCCTTTATTAAGCACAGGAGTTTGCCAGTAATATCAGAAGCATCCCTTTGACTATGAGATGTGGGAACCTATCATTTCAGTTCTTTTAAAAGTTGCTCCCATTTCCCTCTGACTCCCCTCACTTAAAACTCTTCTATACCATCATCAAGTTTGGTATCAGGGTAGAGCATAGGCCACTAAACGAAAGGAAGAGGGGAGAGGAATAGTTTTAATTTGGTTTTAGTTCATAAGGTTGCGCGCTAGATAACTGCAGTAAAATTACCCTCTTGTGAAATCATGTTTGTATTTCATACTGCACCCCAGTTCTGAGCCAAGGTCTGACTGAGTAACGCTGAAAAGTGTTTCACACAATGAAAAAGCAGTAGAGGTAAAAACCCACTTTCTTTGCAATAATCAAACCCAGCTCATTTCCCCCTTCTTTCTCCTGTATTTTAGGGTTAGACTGTTGCTTTATCAGCTCTGCCATGTATGAGAAGTCTGGAGATACTGGATTGCCTGAGGACAAAGCTGGGACTGAATTAGTCTCACCATCTTTTCTAAGTGTCTCTGTAACAAGGTATTCTTTATATATGAGCTGTGCTACCCGATCCAAGAGATTTTGGGCGGAAGCACCAATGAGAAGGACAAATCCTGACTTTGCCCATTTCCTGGCATAGCAGCATCTTCAATTTGGGCTCATATTTTTACATTCAACTCCTCATCCATCACAGTCAGCAGACTTTAACTGCACCATTTAAAATTTAGTCCTCAGTAGCGAGAGCTGCATAAACACCAGCGTAACACAGGAAAGAAAACAGATCTTGAGAGAAGGCAACAAGCAAAATAGCAGAATGGTCCATTAAGATTGTGTTTTGACTGACTTTGACCACTGCTAAACACAAACAATGACTTCAAGAAGGCTACTGTCTCTTGATACTTGCTGAACAGGTGACCTCTGCCATAACTAGCCTTCAGACAAAACTGAAATGCATCGTGTGAAACTGCACGCTAAAAATCAAGATCCATGGGATGTTCTTATATTTAACAGGAGCAATGAAGTTTTAATGAGGCACTCTACCAAAAACTGGGTCATTGATGTGTGTTGAGGTGAAAGGACAATGTTTCTGTACTGTGAGAAAAGGGATTCTATGGCTAGTCACTGCAGTCAAGGCTGCCCTCACACTTCACAGTCCCAACCAGTTCTTCCTTGTTTCTAAGTATCAGGTCCAAGAGAGTGCCTTCCCTCATCGGCTTCACAACTCCAGTACCTTCCTCTTGTTGGATTCATGTTCACAGAGCAGGAAGGCAGAAGAATAAAAGATTTATTTGCAACATGGAGATCCCAAGTTTGTCTCCTACACTAAAATTCAGACTCCTAGGCAAAATTCAGGCTCTCCTGAGTCTGATATCAGAGAAAGTTTTTCCTCACATTTAACATGACTGTTCTGCTGGGTTTTAATTTTTTTTTTTGGCCTGTTGGCAATGATCAAGACATCAGGATTGCCAGGGGAAGCTGTCAGGGTCTTGCAGTCCCCCACTATGGTGCCAAATGAATGCAGGAATTTAGCCCACGAAGTTCCTTTAGCTTCAGAGTCTACATAGTAGAAGTTATCAGTATACTTGCTGATGTTTTAGACTAATGACAAGCTGATCTTGCTTTGGAATCTTCATCAGAGATATTAATGTGTTCACCACACTTGTAATGCCTGGCTTTCATATTGTTTTAATGTCTCTAAGAATCAGAAAAAACCCTTATTTGCTTTATTTAAAAAAAATAACATTCACAGTGAATGTTATTTTATATCACTGAATGACTTTCAACCCTCAAAATTTAGATAGAGCTAAGGGTACAAGAGAGTTAAATTGTTCTATTTAGAGAACAGAGGTAGGCTGGTAGTTCAGCAAGGACTCCCTCAAGGCCCTCAGACCTGAAAGATTTTTCCTAGAACAAGATACTTTGCAGTTTTTGCTGACTCACATAAGTTTAACCATTATAGTCTGAACAGTCTAGTTCATTCAAAACCATACATAACCGGATCTCGTCACTGATGGTGGTGTAAACTGATACAACTCAATCACAGGGATGTAGAGGATGAGGAGGTGGGGGGCCAGGGGGACACAACAGCAGCAAATGTAGCCCCTACAACTTTTCACCAAAATCTGGGCAGATTCTTCTGGTATTTTCTGTCATGCTTTCTTGCATCTTTGTTTTACTTATACCAGCAATTATAATCCTTCACTGACTGCAGGGACACCTCGTGGTGAGGACAGGTGAAAACAGCAGGCTTCCATTCAATTAATTACACCAAGCAGCAAAAGACTGACAGATGTTTCTGCTCCTTGGGATAATCAGAATTTCACAGGCACAGACTTCCACTCCCACTCTGCTTCTGGGGCATACATTAACACACCCAGAACAGAATACACTGACACAGCAACTTCAGGAACAAAGGACTGAGTTGTCCAGCAGACCTGAACTGTCTAACAGTCCACTTAATAATAATTAGCTTTTGTCTTCCAGGGTCTACAAGAGTGGCAGATTCAACTCAACACTCAGTTGAAGCAGCAGTCCCCAGAACGGCTGTTTTGGCTTTCCCCCCTCCTCCTTTGTTTAATGTGCCAGCAAAATACATTTCAGTGACTCACCGCAAAATTTCTTCCTGGGATTTTTTTTTTTTTTTTTGAAAGGCATGCATGTGCGTATGATTTTTAACAGGGATTCCCTTTCTCCCCACTGCAACTACACCATGGCACTGTCACTGCAGCACCTGATCCATTACACAATAAGAATTGCATCAGCTTGCTTACCCAGTGCAGCGACCCAATGCAGACCTTGGCAGCCAGAAGGGGAACGGTGGGATCTGTAGGTCGCAGTTTAGCGCACTCTTTGAGCACTGACACAGCGTATGCTGACTGGAGAAGGAGGGGGAGAGAGAAGGAGGAAATAAAAAAGGCTGATTAGACAATGCTGTTACAGAGTCCAAGCAAGATATTTCAGTGAAATGTACAAAGTAGTACTATGAAGGCAAGAACCACATGTCAGCAACAAGTTAGCAACTTTATTTCCACCTCCACACACGTAGACACATGCGTGCGCGCATGCGCATGCAAACACACACTCTTCCCACGCTCAGAGGAAACACGCCAAAGAACCAGCCCTGGCTGTGTGCATTACAAGAAACAGTTTTCCTTGGCCATTAATGCACTGGTTATTTTAACTCTGCCCTCACAATTCAAAAGAATTCTGTGACAATTTTTCTTGCACACAACCATCTCCCAGTAAGCCAGAAAAGAGCATAAAGAGCTTATCTTTCAGTATGTCAACATTTTAGGCCAACTCTACTCAGCAAGAGGTTTGTGCAGCTAAAGTAATCTGCTCTGTAGGTTGATTTGTGTCTTCTCCAGTTCCAGAAGATAGAAGAATATAACTGGGATCCCACCATGCAAAGGGTGGAGCAGGCAACTGCAGAGCAATACACTGTTCAGCAGGCAGTCCGACCAGCATGCGTTAGAAAGCAAGCCCATAAAATACTTGCTGTCTTTCTGGTGTTAGGTTACCATTAATGAATGATGTTTATTAAGATTAGCAGTTACATCTCCCATTGGGGTCAATGTGCTCTACAAACATTCCTTTTTACAGCACATACTCATGGCTGCCACACTTCAGAAGGTTTAAAAGCGGAATGAGGAAATCTCTGGTCTGAGATGCGGGTGAGAAGGTCTTGTCAGCCAACAAGGAGGCAACAGAAGTTGCCCTGCCGTAGTCTCCTAGCCCACCCTACCTCAACCACAGCTTCTTTACGTCTGCAACCCTTCTCACACTGACCCCTGATCCCCAAAATTCTCTCATCCTTGAGTTCAAGGGGAAGTTTTCTTCTCTCAGAATTTCTCCTTACATGCCCCATTCCTCCCAAACTCTTCCACGCAGTCTCAAGAGACACGCACAGGTGCTTCTCTCACTCGGTGTTCCCTCTCAGGAGCACATTAAACAGTCATGGCCTTTCCACATTGCAGGAAAGAAGCAACAGAAGCTTGCAGAGTCAAACTAATCACTATTCCTACCAGATCCTGGACCCTGTGGGGCTCTCCCCACCAGAGCTCCAGGCAGCACAGGCGGCTGGTCTGGCATCTGCTTGAATCCCGGGCAGCCCTGCACTGCAACTTTGCACTCCCACTGGCCATCAGCACTTCCCCTCCCTCACACCACTGCCACCTCCTTTCTCCACAGAACTGAAGGTCCACTTCTTGCTAGGGGATTCAAAAGCCTGGATAGGAATTTGCTTGGAAGGGCGCCTGGGAAAAGGCAAAAACAGATGCACAGCAGCCCTGCCCCTGCCAAGGGAAAGATGGGTTTCATAACCAAAGACACGAGGTCTGCAGCAGTGCAGAGCAAACCCTCCTGCTTGAAAAGCTTGGGAACCTGCTACGTGGTCTGAAGAGGAGCAACAGCATGCCCTACATTCTCCAGGCTGCTGCCACCTACCTAGAGCATCAGGCACCATCAATAAAAGCAAGGAAGTATTTGCGATTTTACAATTCAAAATATACAATTTGCCTAAAGCCAGAAGGAAGCTTGTCTCAGAGGAAAGATGGCAATCAATAAACTTCGTCCTAGAGGTTAAACTGTTACCTCACCCCTCTCGGAAACAAAGACTTGGGTAATTCAACCCTGAGGTACAGGAAGAAACACATCACTGCACTCTGCTGTCACGAAGTGACTAGCATCCCTCAGAATGAACCTCCCTGACACCTATTTGTTCAGAACAAGTAGTGTCTCAGGTTTTAATGACATCTCATTCCTCTCTCTCACAGAACGCTACCTGCACTGCAGGCAGCTGGTATTCCAGTAGCACTGCTGGATGCGTTGGAAATGCAACATAACCCCACACGGGTCCCAGCCTGGCACATCATCTTCCTGCCCTCCTGATGCAGGAGGCACCTGGGAGCTGGTGACAGCCAGCACTAGCACAAACCAGAGCAGTGAGAGGCCTGTCCTAATTTGGGCTACAACTGTAGGAACTTCCAAGGTCTACACCAGAAGAGAAGTGATACAACCCATCTCCTTGACAGTTCCTCTTGAACTCCGCTTCCTCCCTGACCACAACCTGTCCATTGAGTAAGACTGGTCCTCAGGACAAGCCAAACCTGCAGGCTCCAATAGCCACAAACCACAGAGCGCTTCTCATGTCTGTCCTGGGTCTGTTCAAGAGGCAACAGCAAAACAGTTACTACCGAATCCTGCAAAGCAGAAAATCCTACCCTGTGCCTGCACTTCACATGTGGAGTCACTTTATCACACGCACTCAGGAGCTTCTGAACGTTCATTTACAGAGTGAGAGCCACAGTTTCCACACTGCTTCTAAAACATGTAAAAAGTTATGTCACTTTAAAAAACTTTATAAAATTTGCAGTTAAAATATGGAGCAGAAGTAGTTTTAGAAACAGGGTGGCACGAAGCCTTTCTCCCCAGCTGCATTTTAAAAATTCAAGAGATCTATATAGTTTCACCTTGAAAACTTTACTCAGCAGAAATTATATACAGATGATGAAAATGTTAGCCAAGGAACAATGGTAGAAAGAATACCCCACTCCCAGAGTGACCTTGCTTAGGGGAGACTGGCATGACATATAGCATCAAGGTGTTTTAAAGATATTAATTACAGACAATTTATAGGCAAGGAACAAATATCATCCACTAAGTATTGAATACAGATGTCATTAGTTTGTAAAAATATTTAATATGAAACAGTGTTTGTGTAACATTGAAATAATCTGATAATTAAAATGCACATATTCTTTCACTTAGCGTGGGTGGACCAGGCAGCCAAGCGCATTGTTTGTGAGATTCACTGCAAGGCAAGAATAATTAGATTTATTGGTGAGGCATGTTTTGAGAGAGCAGAACTTGAACTTCAAGTGAGTGCATGCTTCCTACTCAAAATTCTGAGCTTCAGAGGGGCTCGCATCAAAATTCAAGCCAGGGTTTAAGTTCTTTCTGTTTAGCTTGCTAATTGCTGGATTATAACAACTGCACAGGAACCAGTTCCCAAGGATTGCAGAAAACTAGGGATTTGCCTCTGGGTCTCATTTGGCCTCTCTCTGGGAAGAGGTTTTTAAGTTCCTCTAAATGCACACAAACCCATTAAACAGACACGGTTTAAAGGAATGGCAAGCTTGCCAACATCTGCCTCATGGGGGTTTCAACTTTGTTTATGGGAGGTCTAATATAGGAGTTCTCAGCCTTGGGATCCTCATCAGGTATAAGGAGATTCATGACCATTCTCCCTTTGTTATGACTAACAAAGCACAGAGCTCAAATCAGGTTATGGAATGAACACACTGCTTTAATGGGAACATTCAGCCATAAAAAAAAAAGTGAACTCTCTAAGGGACTAAAGAACGTCAATTACCTGAATCGGGCATCTCCACACTTCACATACCGACAACTTTGTGGGTTTTTGGCAATAGAGACAGGGAAGGACATGGCACTACTGATCCATATTTAAATCCAGTATCTATAGTAAGCTGGTTTTCCTGTCAATTTTTTTCCTCATCTAATTTACTTGCATACAATATTTTTCTTCTGCTGAGATCAGAAACATGCTCCACAATAATTTATGAAAGAAAATTAGGAAAGGCAGTTTCTGGGAATTAACAAACAATACTGAAAAATGGCTGCTTTCAATACAGACTTCTGAAAGAGCTCTATGTCTCACATTGGGGCGGGGGGGGCACTTCATTTGCAGTGAGAAATCACAAGGAAGCTATGGGGAAGAAGCAGCATGGAGAGGACACCTCCCTCTAAGTAATTAGGGCAGCCATGGTTTTGAATCCTATAAGGGAGTAAAATGTAAAGAAAAACTTCTATCCAAACACTAAACGCAACTCCCATTCCCCATTTACTAATTATATAATGAAGCATGCAAGCATACTCCTCAAAGATACTTGCAAATGAGCAGTACAGAATGAAGAACAGTCTGCAGTTAATTCTCTTAGTTTTCCAAAAGGCTCGTGAAATGTTGCCATCAATTGAGTTAAACACATAGAAGCTGCCCAAATGCTGGTTTTCCTAGCTCACATCAACACAATTTTCATTCTTTCTCCTCCTGTCCCAACACACCAAAGCAACACAAGAAGGATGTCAGAGATTCATTTCATATTTAGAAGATAAAGAAACCATAAAGGTAAGTAAAAGAAAGAAGAATTTCCAGCAAATCATGCCAGGCAGACTTGATGCACCATAAACAGTTGCTCCTCTCGTGCAAAGGTTCCAAAAACCTCTCTATATTTTTGCTTCTTTGGTAATACTTTTCAGTCAGAGAAAAAAATGTTCTTCAAGGTGGTGGTCTTGGTAGACAGCCTCATTCCCAATTCACCTGGCAGTTTAGTACACAGATTAATCTCCACAGCTAGCACCGCTTTATTTCTAGCATCATCCTATCTGCTTTTAAAAACTGCACTATCTCAAAGGGATTGTTGCAGGAGGGGGGAGAGAGAATCTTTCATCATTATGCAAGAATTAGTATTCCCTGTATATGGGGATTCACAGCCATCTAGCTATAAATGACCTCGAACCAACACGGAAAGATGACACAGAGTGAGCCAGCAATTGAGAACTCCGGAATTAGTTGTCCTGATGTTAGCTTTCCAATGAATGTCTAGATTTCTGCAAATCTCTCAGCATGAACATTATTCCCCCTAAGACATTTACTTCTCTCAACACAGGGACCAATTCTCCTCCTTTTCTTGTATCCTGTGTTTAGCAAACTAGAGCACTGGAATTAAGTAGCTTCAAATATTCAATTTTAAAAGTGCCTCTTAAATTCTAAAATCTAAAAGCATAAATTTGTCCTTGCTAATGTGACAAACGCCCCACTTCACACTTTGTCAAGAAAAGAGCGTTAAGCCTGAAG